AGGTGACGCTAGTAGATCAGGTTAGGAAACAGATCTGTGGAGAGGCAATCCCGCTCACAGAAAGAACACATGTTCAATATCATACTGTGGAACATTCCAGGCAAAACACAAACATCTCCATGGAGACAAGCATGTAAAAGTTACATAGTGCACCTTTAAATAAGTATGAAAACAACTTCTGCCAACCTAATGACATAATCCTCTTGTGATTCTGACTTTGTTCCTGCGCTCGTCCAGGATGTTCTTCACTTCTGGCAGCTTCTTCGAGTCTCTGTCTTTATGCTGTTTTATATTCGTCCGTGTTATTTCCCTTCAGACCAATGGAGACGTCATCTGCAGTAAAGTCCTGAGAGGGAATAAGAAGGTGTTTAAACTGGAGGCGGTTTTAGACGCCTCAGTGGAGCAGTTATACGACGTCCTGTTCGTCAGAGTGGAGGAGATGCACCGGTGGAACCCCAGTATTCAGCAGATCAGGGTGAGTCTACGACCAGGCCTGGGACGCTCATTAAAGGGCCTATACAGTCCCTGACAAAAGTCTTGTCTCTTATCCATTTTGTAGAAACAAAAGCTTATAACCTGACTTTAAATTAATCGATTGGTTTTAGAAATGTCTCATATGAAGCTAAAACCCTCCCAAATTATGCTCAATAAACTAAAATAAATTTGCTTCACTGAAGAAAGATTGATCATTTAATGAACACAGAAAGGTCAGATTTTGGCAAGACAAAAGTTTTGTCGCCTACAGAAAATTGAACAAATAATTTACTTCAAATACAAAAATATGTTGCATAACATCAGTGAATGAAGTAGTGGTGCTGTGAGATCCATATTTAATATCTTGTATGACTCCATGAGCTTGAAGGACGCATCCATGCGGTTCCACAATGATTCATACAATTTGTTGATGAAGTCATCAGGAATAGCAAAGAAAGCGTCTTACATGCCTCCCAGAGTTCATCAAGATTCTTTGGTTTTGCCTTCATGCTTCCTCTTTCATTCTACCCCAGACCTGCTCAATGATGTTCATGTCTGGTGACTGGGCTCCAGTCCTGGAGCACCTTGATCTTCTTCACCTTGAGAAACGTTGATGTAGAGATAGAAGTATGTGATGGAAGCACCATCCTGCTGCAAAATTTGACCCTTTTATGGTTGGAATGTAAGAGGAGCTAATACTTCTTGATATTTTAGGTTATTGATATTGTCTTCCACCCTGCAAATGTCTCACACACCCCCAGACTGGATGGAACCACAGACCAGGATTTTTCCGCCACCAAACTTAACTGTTTTCTGGGTGAATCTTGGATCCATGTGGCTCCAGTTGGTCTCCTGCAATATTTTCGGCAGCTGTGATGTAATTCAACCGAGGATTCATCTGAGAAATCCACCTTCTGCCACTTTTCCAGTGTCCATCCTTTTAACAGGCTGTGGGCCTTGGCAAATGCCACACGGTTTTTTAATTGCCTTTTGTTTAGTGCTGGTTTCTGTGCACTGATTCGACCATGGAGGCCATTTTGAGACAGAATTCTACAAACTGTTGTGGTTGACACAGGGACTTGAGGTGACCAGGCCTGGTGGAGTCTGCTGCAGTGGAAAAGGGGCCTTGGATTTTTGAATCAACAAACGGTCCTCCCGAGCAGTTGTCATTGCGGCGTCTGCTGGACCTGGGCTTGTCAAAAACATCTCCAGTCATTTCAGATCTTTTTCTTATTCTTTGTACTTGACGCTGAGACACATTGAAGGTGTCACCACCTCAGCAGTGGATCTGGTCTTCAGCCTCTTGATAATTAAGGCTTTGGTCTCAGGGTGGATCTTAGGCATGTTGTCAGAGGTCAAGTTGCAGTTGATGTGAAGGTCTGGTGTGCTGAGGTTCTTTTTATACACACCCACTAACTGATTGATCAGTAACTGATCACAGGTGAGGCTGTAATCTAGGATTGGACTTTTTGTCTTGCCAAAATCTGACCTTTCTGTGTTCATTAAATGATCAATCTTTCTTCAGTGAAGCAAATTTATTTTAGTATATTGAGCATAATTTGGGAGGGTTTTAGCTTCATATGAGACATTTCTAAAACCAATCGATTAATTTAAAGTCAGGTTATAAGCTTTTGTTTCTACAAAATGGATAAGCGACAGGACTTTTGTCAGGGACTGTATAAAGCTATAATCTGATCTATGTTATAATGTAGTTTCCCCATAAAAAAGAAACATGTTTTAAGGGGCTGTCACACCTTGATGATTTAGCCAGCGTTTGCCGACCTATTAAAAATTTGGCAAATACGTTGGCGTACGTCGGATAAGTTATAGGTACTTTTTGTATAAGTTATGAGCACGTGAGGTCATTGAAAAAATTTTAAAATGTTGAAAATTTCTGGACATTAATTGTAAGTTACTGATGGGCCTGGTCAAGCAGAAGTAAACAACAAGGCCATAAATTCAAGTTAATGCATCTGATATAAAAATGTATTGAACAGATACATATGTACTCTAGTTTATGAAACTGTTTACCTTTTTTCTGTATCATTTTTGGTTCTAAAGTTACATACGTTTTAAACAGAACATGTATGAAACTTGGAACAAAAATTATTTCCTAAATTTCAAAGACCTGCAAATCATGTAAATAAATGGATGTATTTGATCATATATTGTGTTATTTGATCTTTGAACTGTTGATGATATAAAAAAAAAGTGTTTAAAATGATAAAAATTTGTTGGAAGGACAGACATTTTTATTTTCCTGATCTGTGTCGTTCAGACTGTCATTAAAAGATCAGATACCGGAGCATAGGGGCCAAAAAATTGAATTTGGGTCACTTCAGGCTGCAGTGTGAACGCAGCCTTAGTCCGACAGAAGCTGAACCGCATCAGCGCACAAGGAGTGACTGTTTTTTGAGTTTTAGCCATGTGGTTTTAAGTTTTGTTTCCGTAAAACGTAAACAAATATGCGCAAAGATGTGTGGATATAGAAAGCTTGCGGACACAGAAACGACGTGTCTGGACGCAAATCGCTTTTCGATATGATGATATGGTGATTCTTTTCGGTGTAAACGCAACCTAAATCTACAGAGTTTGTGTGTGAACATGTGTGAATGAAACAAAACACAACTCCAGGTCTGTTTGTGACGAGGAAACAACATTATAACACGCTGTAGATCAGAAAATAGAGTGCACATGTATAAAAAATATCACTTTTAATCCATACCGTGCTCCAGTTTCACCTTGAGTCTGAATTAACATCGATGCTAACACGCTAACTCCCGTTCCTAATAACAGCGTGCGGGAAAACGTTTAATCGCGCCACACTAGCTCGCTAATGGAGGGTCACGTGAAGGTTATGACTAAGCGGCGAATACATGACTAGATTAACGTGACATCCCGTAATAGAAAATGTCAACACCGTTTTAGCACGTTAGCCCTTAGCAACACCTTAGCAACCCCGACGTAATCGCCGCGCAGTGGAATCGCGGTTCTAAAAGAGGAAAAGGCTACTGTAGTTTATTTCGCATTAATAGCGAATCGGTCTGAAATTACATAACGTGTAAGTTGAGATGGCGTTGCCGTGGCGATGATTTAAATTATGTCATAAAACGGTAAGTGGTACGTTGAGATACTGAGGTGATTTTCCGTTACAGTGCGACGGGAAATCACACGTTGACGTAAATAGTAATGAAATAAATGGGAGATGGGAAATGTATTTGAAAAGCGATGATTGTTAGAAGGAAATGGAAATTGTACGGAATATTCATAAACCGGCCTCGACGCTCTTTATTGTTTTTTTTTATTTGAAAGGGTCTGTATTATGTAAAATTGCTGTAAACGTATCACGCGCAGCCCGTTAACCCGTGATTATGTCAAGGTTAAATCGGACACGTTAAAATTCCACCTGTTACGGCCCGTGTCCGTGATAAATCGGGGTCAGAACATTAGTCTGACAGCCCAAGAACAAGGACTACACCAGGACTAAATCAGGACTACACCAGGTCTAAACCAGGATTTAACCAAGACTAAACCAGGTTGAAACCAGGACTACACCAGGACTGGACCAGGACTAAACCAGGTCGAAACCAGGACTAAACCAGGTCGAAACCAGGATTTAACCAAGACTAAACCAGGTTGAAACCAGGACTACACCAGGACTGGACCAGGACTGAATCTGCGCCGTGCCATTAGTGGATTATAAATATATACACACTGCAAACCGCTGAGACGATCGCCAGGACTACAACAGGACTAGACCAGGACTAGACCAGGACTACACCAGTACTGGACCAGGACTGGACCAGGACTACACCAGTACTGGACCAGGACTGGGCCAGGACTACACCAGTACTGAACCAGGACTACACCAGGACTACATCAGGACTACACCAGGACTGGACCAGGACTTAACCAGGACTAAAACATGACTGAGCCAGGCTAAACCAGGACTGAACCAGGACTACACCAGGTCTGGACCAGGACTAGACCAAGACTACACCAGGACTACACCAGGACTGGACCAGGACTTAACCAGGACTAAACGAGGTCTAAACCAGGACTGAACCAGGACTACACTGGGACTGGACTAGGACTACACTACGACTACATCAGGACGGGTACCAGACTACACCAGGAGTGGACCAGGAATAAACCAGGACTGGACCAGGATTTGACCAAGACTACACCAGGACTACACCAGGTCTAAACCAGGACTAAACCAGGACTAAACCAGGACTAAACCAGGACTAAACCAGGAGTGCAGCCGCCGATCCAATCACCTCCACTGATGATCTTTACGTAATAAAAACACTAAAGTCACTCTCGCAACCTGGTCTGCCATTTTTACAGGAAAATGTCAGTTGTTTCCAGGGCAACGGCCGACCTAGACGCACGTCAAGTATTTTTTCCTGTTCGTCATTCATCATGTTCGTCATCACGTGTAAATATGACGACTTTGTGTGTTAAACATGTTTTTTTTTAATGAGGAAACAACATTATAAGAACCCGGCCTAAATACGTCAAAAACTTAACAAAACTTAAAGGCGCATTGGGTAATTTTTCAGGCGGGGGTGATCTTCCACAAGTTTGTCTCCAGGGAGATGTTGCTGCTTTGCTTAGAATGTTCCACAGTGTCACAAAATTACCTTGAGAAAAAAAAAAAAATAAAAATCTCTAATTTGGCTGCTTCTCCACAGACATATGTTTAATGCCATATGGTGGAACATTTTAGGTAATGCAATGACGTGATGAACCCAGAAAAGTTACATATTGCACCTTTAAGTCATTTAAAAGCAAATTTAGTCAAAAGGAATATAATGTGTACTGTAATAAACAAGGTAACGACATACACAAGATCACGAACAAAATGTTAAATAAATAAAAAGTTAATCTCAAACTCTTAGACTGATTTGATAAACATGTTTTGTTGTGCAGGTCCTTCAGAGACTCGGCCCGGAGACTGTAATCACACACGAGGTTTCCGCGGAGACGGCGGGGAACCTGATTGGTCAGCGGGACTTCCTGAGTGTGAGGCACAGCTGTAAAAATCAAACCAGAGTTTATCTGGGAGGAACTGCCATCCAACTGGACGCCTTCCCCCCACAGAGCGGCTTCGTCAGGTACTAATATATGTAATAAAACCTAGTACTGTAGTAGTAGTAGTAGTAGTGGTAGTAGTAGTAGTAATCATTGTATTGGTATCCAACTGAAGTACTTCCCCCCACAGTGTCTTTGGCTGCGTTCAGACTGAAGTGACCCAAATCTGATTTTTTTGCCCCTATGTTCCTGTATCTGATCTTTTAATGAGTCTGAACGACACAGATCTGATTTTTTCAAATGTGACCCAGGCCAATTCCTAAAATTAAACCAGGACTAAAACCAGGTCTAAACCACGTCTAAAACCAGGTCTAAACCAGGTCTAAACCAGGTCTAATCCAGGTCTAAACCAGGTCTAAAACCAGGTCTAAAACCAGGTCTAAACCAGGTCTAAACCAGGTCTAAAACCAGGTCTAAACCAGGTCTAAAACCAGGTCTAAACCAGGTCTAAAACCAGGTCTAAAACCAGGTCTAAACCAGGTCTAAACCAGGTCTAATCCAGGTCTAAAACCAGGTCTAAACCAGGTCTAAACCAGGTCTAATCCAGGACTAAACCAAGTCTAAACCAGGTCTAAACCTGGTCTAATCCAGGACTAAACCAGGTCTAAACCAGGTCTAATCCAGGTCTAAACCAGGTCTAAATCAGGTCTAAACGAGGTCTAAATCAGGTCTAAACCAGGTCTAAACCTGGTCTAATCCAGGTCTAAACCAGGACTAAAACAGGATTTAACAGGACTAAACCATGCCACGCAGACCATGTCTCCTTCTCTTCTATCAATAATATTTTAAATCTGGTTCAGTAAATTCTGGGCTTTTTATTTTCTTTTATCAGACAAAACATCTTATGTTACGATTTCCTCGTCTTTGCTTCTCTACAGCAAATCAAGTAATCCAAAGTATTCAGATTACATTACTCACTTTAAGTAATTTAATGGATTACGTTACAAACTACATTTTGGGGTGTGTAATCTGTAATCTGTAGGGAAATACATTTTAAAAGTAAACTTCCCAACACTGTCCACAGCCAATAAGAACAAAACATTTAATATTTAGCGCTGAACAGAAGACACGAGCGTTAATGAATTAAAATGAACCCGTTGGCTCTGACATTTCCCTCTCTTATTAACAATGCGCGAAAAACCCACAGATGTACGCCGACCCCAGGTGCTAAATAACCACGCTAGCTTCGCAATTACACATGCTAACACGCTAATTACGCATGCTCGCGCGCTAACGACGGATTAGAACCGTGAGGTAACTGAGGTACTTAATAACCTAAATACATTAATAAGGAACAACGGCATTACATTTTTTCACGACGGTATTTTCATGGACTAGCAGCGTACGCGAGAAAACACGGTGTGCGGGAGCAGACACAGTCCGCACAGTGTACAGGAGGAGACGGAGTCCACGTGGCACAGTGTAGACCTGGTTAAATCCTGTTTTAAACCTGTTTTAGACCTGGTTTTAGTCCTGGTTCAGTCCTGTTTTAGTCTTGTTTTCGTTCTGGTTTAGTCCTGTTTTTAGTTATAGTTTTAGTCCTGGTTTAGTCTTGTTTTTAGTTGTGGTTTAGACCTGATTTTAGTCCTGGTTCAGTCCTGTTTTTAGTTTTAGTTTTAGTCTTGTTTATGGTTCTCGTTTAGTCCTGTTTTTAGTTCTAGTTTTTAGTCCTGTTTTTAGTTCTGTTTAGTCCTGTTTTTAGTTCTAGTTTTAGTCCTGGTTTAGTCCTGTTTTTAGTTGTGGTTTAGACCTGATTTTAGTCCTGGTTCAGTCCTGTTTTTAGTCCTGTTTTAGTCTTGTTTATAGTCCTGGTTTAGTCCTGTTTTTAGTTCTAGTTTTAGTCCTGATTTTAGTCCTGGTTTAGTCCTGTTTTTAGTTCTCATTTAGTCCTGATTTTTGTTGTGGTTTAGACCTGATTTTAGTCCTGGTTTAGACCTTGTTTTAGTCCCGATTTAGTGCTGCATTTAGGTGTGGTTTAGACCTGATTTTAGTCCTGGTTTGGTCCTGTTTTTAGTTGTAGTTTTAGTCCTGTTTTTAGTTCTGTTTAGTCCTGATTTTAGTCCTGGTTTAGTCCTGTTTTTAGTCCCAATTTAGTCCTGCATTTAGGTGTGGGTTAGACCTGATTTTAGTCCTGGTTTAGTCCTGTTTTTAGTTCTGGTATAGACCAGATTTTTGTCCTGGTTTAGTGCTGGTTTCGACCTGTTTTTAGACCTGATTTTAGTCCTGGTTTAGTCCTGCTTTTAGGTGTGGTTTAGACCTGATTTTAGTCCTGGTTTAGACCTGTTTTTAAGCACAGTCCATGGTGTGTACGTGAGAAGGTGTGGTCCACGCTGTGCACGGGAGGAGGAACGGTCCACAAGGAGTATGGGGCGGGGGGGTTGAAGTTTTCGTGGCCTGGCATCAAAAAAACGACTCATGGCCCGGTGGTTGGGGACCCCTGACGATACGACATAAACAATCGTATAAGACCCAAGCACGGCTAATGGAATATATTTACATATACTGAGTTTTCCCATTTGCGTAATTGTCTTAAAGTAGAAATTGAAAGATCATGCGAAGTGACATGTAGAGACTTAATCAAAATCCAAAATGTCACTAGAGTTTAAACTGATCTGGAGATCGGTCACAAATCTATGCTCGAGTTTGCTTTGTAACTTTCAGATTGCAATTTTTTTTTACTTGTTTATGGTTCATCTCTTTGTAATTCCTGAGCCTATCCACATGAATATCTCTGACAGTATAAACCAGGGGGGCTCAATACGTCGATCGCGATCTACCACTCGATCGCCAAGGTCGTGTGGGTAGATCGCCGTGTCTTAGTACTCGTCTCGGACTCGCGTTTGGACTCGGTCTTGTCTCTCACTCGAGGTCTGACACTCAACAAGTGTGATCATATTTCATTACGGCCGCTGCTGTTGGTAATAAACTTGTAGCGGGTGCAGGAGCGTGTGGGGCGTCTCAGTGCAGCCTGTGCGCTCATTTGAAACCCGCGGAGACTCTACGGCGCATCACAAACACACACGCTCCCTATGCACGGCTCGTCTGCGACAGCGTGTGCCCTCGTGTACCAGCGTGCATCACAGGGCAGGTTCAACTTCCTAAACATCCTACCTGTCCATCTGCCTCACGTCAGCACGCCGCCCCTCGCCTTTTCACGCTCTCGCTCCTTCCTGCGTACAGCCAACACAAGCCCCTCCCACAGTGCGGCTGATTAGAAGAGCAAGACCAAACGTGAAGCAAAAACCAGTCTAAATTTGTGTTCCAGTGTTGGCACAAAGCAGGTCTACAGCATAGAGCGGATCTACAGAACAGACCTACTGCCACATTTGGCTGAAGTTTGTCTAACAAAAGTGACAAATGCATCTGTGTTTGTCACGATGTGCGTTTGGTTTGGTAAACGTGCAGAGGCTGGTAAATATCACTGCAAAACCAGAAAAGAATGTAACTCCAGTTTGGAACTTTAAAAAACAGGTTTAAAAATCTTCCTTCACTTTTTTCACAGTTTTGTGTAAAGTGCCAGAGGAAGTTCTCTTAAAGAAGAGGTTCTCAAACTGTGGGGGAGGGTCCAAAAAAGGGGCACAGAGTGTTTCAGTGCAGTTTGATTGACTTGGTCATTTTGTAAGTAACTCACATGCTGAAAAAGTGTGAACACCCCTGGTATAAACAAACAAAAGTGTAATTATTTTTTCACGCTATCTTCAGAAAGTGATGCAATTTTTCAACCCTAAACATTTATTTTTTTGTCAATTGGATAGAGTCAATGACATAAGATTATAAAACGAGTTTACGGAGCTAATCTCTCACAAATAAAGATAAGGATGTGCATTTGTGGATGATAAATAATGTTTTGTTAAATAATTACACAACAGATAAGAAAAAGCTGCCTATGTTTTGTTATTTTTGTTGTTATTTTGTTATGGGAAATGTATTTTTTAGAAAGGTGAAGGTTAAATCTTAAGTTTTTAGAACGTTAAATACACACTGCATCTGTTTTTTTCCATTTTATCAAAAAAATGTAGCAAAAAATAAAATAAAAGAACAATAATTAGTGTGAATAAAGTTGATGTTTTGTGTGTTTTTTTTTCAGAGCGGAGGATGGGCCCACCTGCATCGTCATCGAACCTGCAGGACCGAACAGAAGCAAATTCACTTGGCTTTTAAACATGGACGTCAAGGTAAATGTGTTGTTTCAGTGTCCAAGTTAAAGTTAAAGATGCACCGTGGAACTTTTCCGGTGGAGTCAGCAACCTGCTAGTCTCCATGGAGATGTTATCGTTAGCAGAAAAGCAGAATGAGCCTCACGTGAGTCTCCCATTTGGGGGGAGCAGCACTTTAAAATACTTATTACTTACTTCGGGTGGTAGTTTGTAGTTACTAAGCTGATAATTACTGTGGTAGTTACTGTGGTACTTATAGTTGCACTTAGAGTGGTACCTAGGCTGGTAATTATCCTGGTACTTAGTGGTACTTTTGCTGGTAACTACTACTGTTACTTACAAGTACTTTGGATCGCAATTACACTGATACTTACTGATACTTTGGCTATTCATTATACTGGTATTTACTAGTACTTTGGTTGGTAATTTTACTAATATGTACTAGTATTTTGGCTGGTAATTATACTGGTACTTACTGGTACTTTGGTTAGTAATTATAGTGGTACTTTGTCTGGTAACTATACTGGTACTTTGGCTGGTAATTATAGTTATACTTACTTGTACTTTGGCTGGTAATTATATTTGTACTTTGGCTGGTAATTATTCTGCTACTTAGTGGTACTTTGGCTGGTAGTTATAGTTATACTTACTGGTACTTTGGTTGGTAACTATCAATCAATCAATCAAACTTTATTTGTATAGCACTTTTCATACATTTGAAATGTAGCACAAAGAGCTTCACATGCAACAGAAAAATTACAATACAATAATTAAAATCAAGAGCAACCCCCCATCCCTTTGTTTCATCCATATATACAACCATTTAAACAAAAACATAAAAACAAAAACATAAAACTCCTAAAGGTTATCATAAAAATCAAAATGGAGACAAAGTAAAACAGTAATGATAATTTAATTTAGAATAAATAAATATAATAATAATAATAATAATTTAAGTTAAAACAGATAAAAGTTTCAATTAAAAGCTAAATAAAAAAGATACGTTTTGAGTTTACTTTTAAAAATATGAACACTCGCAGCGGACCTCAGATCCTCAGGTCGACTGTTCCACAAACGGGGGCCGTAAAAGCTGAATGACGCCTCAGCGTGAGTTTTAGTCTGGACTCTTGGGACAGTTAAAAGACGACGACCTGAGGACCTGAGAGTCCGAGAGGCTCATATGATAAAAGCAGATCAGATAAATAAATAGGACTAAGACCATTAAGAGCTTTATAAACTAATAAAAGAACTTTAAAATCTATCCTGAAGCTCACAGGAGCCAGTGCAGAGACTACTGGTACTTATTAGTACTTTGGCTGGTAGTTACAGTGATACTTACTTGTACTTTTGGCTGGTAATTGTACTGGTACTTGGTGGTACTTTGGCTATTAATAATACTGGTACTTACTGGTACTTACTAATACTTTGGCTGGTAGTTATAGTGATACTTATTAGTACTTTAGCTGGTAAATATACTGGTACAAAATCAGCAGTTAAACTACAGATTTTACCTGCTCCCCCATCTTTGTTATATATATATATATGTGTAATAATTAGTGCTGTCATGCGATTAAAAAAATTGAGAGATTAATTAATTATGATCTGTAATTAATTCATCTAATTAATCTCTTTTTAATCTCAAAAATCTAAAAATTGCTGAGAAAAGCCTTCAAGTTGAGGTATTTTCATTTAAATTCATTATTACATTATTGTGGCAGATCAAAAGACTGATATAGAACAAAATAAAGTGAATTTATAAAGTCATTTATTGTTTAACAAATCTCTCCAAATTGACTGTTGAGCCCAAGTCTCCATGAATAAGAAACTGTTTGCTGTAAAGTAGCAAAGACGAGGAAATCTGAACATAATAACTTTTGTCGACTTAAAGACAATAAAAAGTCCAGTCTTTCCTTAACCGTATTAAAAATATTATTGATAGAGAAATGCTTTATATATGAGATCACTGGTTTTAGTTCTGGTTTTAGTCCTGGTTTAGTCCTGGTTTAGTCCTGGACTGGGTTAGTCCCGGTTTTAGTCTTGGTGTTAGTTCTGGTTTAGAGGCGCACAGGAGGAAGCGCGGTTTACGCCGCGTACGCGAGAAAACGTACGCGGCTCACGGGAGCACGTCGGTGTCCACGCAGTAACTACGGAAAGAAACGTGGTCCGCGCGTTCTCAGGTTAATGACGATGATGAAGGTGTGTGTTTGTGTGTGTTTGTGTTTGTGTGTGTTTGTGTGTGTTGTGTGTGTGTTTGTGTATAGGACAGTAGTGCAGACATCATGAGTCTATGCAGGTTGTTTTCACCAGTGACATTTAAGTTGTAGGCAATTTTATATTTGTTATTTTCTTTTATATTTCACGTCGGGAGAATAATTTCCAAGACACGAATGTGTTTTTACCTGTGCACTGCTGCTCTGTTCTACTGGCTCTTCCACCTCGTCCATTGTGCGACTGACGCCGCAAACGTTAACATGACGTTTACATCGCTCTTACTGCGCGCGTTTTGTGTGGGTTTCCGGCATTGAGTGGAATTACCGAAATAAAAAAATAATTAATGTGTTTTTTGTGTGTGTGTTGTTGTCCCAACAACACATAAAAACAGATTTTATAATAAAGCAACTCACATACAGAAACACTAAAGTTAGAGATTAAAAATGAGATTAACGCGATTAAAAAACATAACGCACTAAATATGACTGTAATTAATTAATCGCAATTAACGCGATAATTTGACACCCCTAGTTATAATATTAACCTTTAAAAAGCTGTGATTTCATCTGAAACCCAGTAATACTCATAATTAGTTTATAATTTAGTCAAGATTTGGCCTTTGTTTACATTATTTTTGCTCGGTAACAGAACTGGAATTACCTCTGTGTTTGTCACATCAGCTTCTCATGTTCATCCAGGAAATAAAACACTAAAATCCAGGTTCAGTTGTTATTATATTTCTTTTTAAAGCCAGTAAGATTACAGGATACATATACACGTCGTAGTTCCTTTAAATGCCTAAACCGGACTCATTTTGTGGTGTATTTTCTCTTTGTGTTGTCTTATGTTATCGTTGCACCACATCTGCAGCTCGGGGCACAGATAAAGCTCGGTATTCCCCCGTTCTTCTCCTCGGCTTCCCGGACTCGCACGTTTCAGAGCAAATTATAAACGTGATTAAGATAAGATGTGGTTTACGCACAATGACACACAGATCAGTCAGACACGGGCTCGGTGTTTGTGTTTGTGTGATAAAGGAGAAGCTCAAATCAATACAGGCGACAAAGAAGTGAGATAAGACGCTGCTGTCAAAACTCTTACATGCAGCGGTTTATAAAATGCACAAATGTTTTTCTAAATGAGTTACGATTACAAATTAAATTCAAGATAATAATCTAGATTCAGAAGTGGTGTTGTTTTTCTTGTGCTCGTAATGTCAGTTTGATGGAAAAGCTCCTAAATATTTGAACCAGGTCTAAATCAGGACTAAACCAGGTCCAAACCAAACTAAACCAGGTCCAGGTAAACCAGGTCTAAACCAGGTCTAAATCAGGTCCAATCCAGAACTAAACCAGGTATAAACCAGGACTAAACCAGAACTAAACCAGGACTAAACCAGGTCTAAACTAAAACCAGGACTAAACCAGAACTAAACCAGGACTAAACCAGGTCTAAAACCAGAACTAAACCAGGACTAAACCAGAACTAAACCAGAAAACTAAACCAGGTCTAAACCAGGACTAAACCAGGTCTAAACCAGGACTAAACCAAGGACTAAACCAGAACTAAACCAGGACTAAACCAGAAAACTAAACCAGGTCTAAACCAGGACTAAACCAGGACTAAACCAGGTCTAAACCAGAAAACTAAACCAGGTCTAAACCAGGACTAAACAGGTAAACCAATCCAGAACTAAAACCAGGTCTAAACCAGGACTAAACCAGGTCCAATCCAGAACTAAACCAGGTCTAAACCAGAAAACTAAACCAGAGGTCTAAACCAGAACTAAATCAGGTTAAAACCAGAACTAAACCAAGACTAAACCAGAACTAAACCAGGTCTAAACCAGGACTAAAACAGGACTAAACCAGGACTAAACCAGAAATAAACCAGGACTAAACCAGGACTAAACCAGGTCTAAACCAGGACTAAACCAGAAATAAACCAGGACTAAACCAGGACTAAACCAGGTCTAAACCAGGACTAAACCAGAACTAAACCAGGTCTAAATAAAACAGGACTAAACCAGATCTAAACCAGGACTAAACCAGAACTAAACCAGGTCTAAACCAGGACTAAAACAGGACTAAACCAGAACTAAAACCAGGTCTAAAAGGACTAAACAGAACTAAACCAGGTCTAAACCAGAAAACCAGACTAAACCAGGTCTAAACCAGGAAAACTAAACCAGGTCTAAACCAGGTCTAAACCAGGACTAAACTAAAACCAGGACTAAACCAGAACTAAAACCAGGTCTAAACCAGGACTAAATCAGGACTAAACCAAGATTAACTAGATCTAAACCAGGACTAAACCAGGTCTAAACCAGGACTAAACCAGAAATAAACCAGGACTAAACCAGAACTAAACCAGGTCTAAACCAGGACTAAAACAGGACTAAACCAAGATTAACTAGATCTAAACCAGGACTAAACCAGGTCTAAACCAGGACTAAAACCAGGACTAAACCAGGTCTAAACCAGGACTAAACCAGGACTAAACCAAAAACTTAAACCAGGACTAAACCAGAACTAAACCAGGTCTAAACCAGAACTAAACCAGGTCTAAACCAGGTCTAAACCAGAACTAAACCAGGTCTAAACCAGAACTAAACCAGGTCTAAACTAGGACTAAACAGGACTAAACCAGATTAAAGATCTAAAACCAGGACTAAACCAGGTCTAAACCAGGACTAAACCAGAAATAAACCAGGACTAAACCAGGAACTAAACCAGGTCTAAACCAGGACTAAACCAGGACTAAACCAGGTCTAAACCAGGAAACTAAAACAGGACTAAACCAGGACTAAAACAGGACTAAACCAGAACTAAAACCAGGTCTAAACCAGGACTAAAACAGGACTAAACCAGGTCTAAACCAGGACTAAACCAGGTCTAAACCAGGACTAAACCAGGTCTAAAAGCAGACATAAACCAGGACTAAACCTTGTCTAAACCAGAACTAAACCAAGATTAAACTAGATCTAAACCAGGACTAAACCAGGTCTAAACCAGGTCTAAACCAGGACTAAACCAGGTCTAAAAACAGGACTAAAACAGGATTTAACCAGGACTTAACCCACCCGTACTGTTTCAGAGATCCAGACTCTGCGTCGTGATGCAGACGATTTGACGCTGGACTGTAAATTGGTCTTTACTGTGGGTGGGCTCGCCTCTCCACAAATCTAACACATAACTTGGCCCCGTAGCGTCACCCGCTGACTCTAGAGAGATAAATACATTTAATGCTGTACCGTGGAACATCCCAGGCAGTATTTTCATGGAGTGATGAAGGTGACGGCCTAGAAAAGTTACACAATTCATCTTTAAGCAAAATTTTTTAAGCAAGTTTTTCAGAATAAGTTTGTTTTCTGTTTTGAGTTTCTAACATGATTCCGTCTTCTTGTTTCAGTGTGTTCTAGATATATATATATATATATATATATATATATATATATATATATATATATATATATATATATATATATATATATATATATTCTAGATTCAGAAGTGTTGTTGTTTTTCTTGTGCTCGCAATGTCAGTTTGATGGAAAAGCTCCTAATATTTGAACCAGGACTAAACCAGGTCTAAACCAGGACTTAAACCAGGTCTAAACCAGACTAAACCAGGACTAAACCAGGACTAAACCAGGTCTAAAAGCAGACATAAACCAGGACAAAACCAGAACTAAACCAGGTCTAAACCAGGACTAAACCAAACCAGGACTAAACCAAGATTAAACTAGATCTAAACCAGGACTAAACCAGGTCTAAACCAGGACTAAACCAGGTCTAAAAGCAGACATAAACCAGGACTAAACCAGGTCTAAAAGCAGACATAAACCAGGACTAAACCAGGTCTAAAAGCAGACATAAACCAGGACTAAACCTTGTCTAAACCAGGACTAAACCAAGATTAAACTAGATCTAAACCAGGACTAAACCTTGTCTAAACCAGGACTAAACCAAGATTAAACTAGATCTAAACCAGGACTAAACCAGGTCTAAACCAGGACTAAACCAGGTCTAAAAGCAGACATAAAACCAGGACTAAACCAGGTCTAAAAACAGGACTAAACAGGATTAACCAGGACTTAAACCACCCCACCTAATGCTGTACCGTGGAACATCCCAGGCAGTATTTTCATGGAGTGATGAAGGTGACGGCCTAGAAAAGTTACACAATTCAGGTTAAGCAAATATTTTTTAAGCAAGTTTTTCAGAATAAGTTTGTTTTCTGTTTTGAGTTTCTAACATGATCTTGTTTTCTTGTTTCAGGGTTGGCTCCCAAAGTCTCTGGTGAATCAGGCCTTACCCCGGGCGCAGCTGGACTTCACCCGTCACCTGCGCGGGCACCTGTCGGCAGGGGGCGCTCTCCGGGGCTGACAGGTGCGGGTGAAGGAGGCGTGAAGAGAAGAGAACAGCTCGTCCAAATTTACCGCAATTTAAACAAAGAAAGAAAACAGAAAGACCACAGCGCCACCTACAGGACGAACAAGAGAAAAATCGACGCGTGAAACTGATCGACCAAAACATTACGACCACCGACCTCCCTCAAACAAGAGCCCGAATTAAACTGCAAAACGGAATATCAAATTACGTTAATAGAGACTTGAATTAAAGATGCACTATGTAACTTTTCTGGTGAAGGTTACGCCAGCTGTTGAACGTGTCTATCTCCATGGAAACGAGCAGGTGAAACTAAGCAGTTATCGTCCACGTCACTCAAAATGTTCAGTTCAAATCATTTTAACAAAGTGTACACAAGACAGATCCACCAAAACACACTTTATTACTTAAAGAGGGGGTATTATTCAAAATGATTATTATTTTGGAGCTTTCTACCGTGTTATATAACGTATAAGGAAGAGGTTTTAGAGTCATCCATGCATGTTTGAGTAATCTAGCGATCTCTCCCGGGCCCTATTCAAACCCTCCTTGCGTTTAGCTGTAAAATAAGATAAACTGCAAGTCCCGCAAACTAAATATGAGTGTAAAGTAAAATATACAAATGATTCATGTTTCTATCATACATCGTTTGTGCTGGATATTTTATTTGGCATCGACAAAAACATTTGAAACTGTCTAAATTTGCGGACGTGGTCTAATCTTGTGCATGTTTTAGACAATTCCTTTTCGCTTCTCCGTGTTTGATCGAGCTTAAGAACGCGAATGTCTACATCTTGCGGGATTTGTGGGCGGAAGCGGGACAAAATATCGCAGATGTGGGCGGAAGCGGGAATGAAAATAACAGTTCTTTGAGTCACGGGGGCTAGCCAGGCTGGCACCACCTAGCGCCTCCGCTCAAATTAGTTTCTCTCTAGACGGTTCGCAAAAACCCGGAAGTACGAGTTCAGGCACCAGCCAATCAGCGAAGAGCTAGAGACCTTCTGTGTTGGCAGCGATTCCCAAGATTGAGGATTTAAAGCCAGAACAAAGAGAATGTTTGGTGAATTTTATCAAAAGGAAAGACGTTATTGTCCTTCTTCCTACAGAATTTAGGAAAAGCTTAATATCCCAGTTAACCCCGTTAGCGGCGCATTACATACATCACGACTAAATATCAGCGACTGGTTAAATAAAAGTAGTACCTGCCTACTGTCGAGTGAACGAATCCTAATGCTGTGAGGTCAGACGGTTTCCACGAAGTGAAACCAGAAAATTCTGTCCCGCGCAGACCTCTAACGTCGCCCAAGCTCCCACACGACAATTCTCCATAAATATACAAAAACATGACACAAAACTTCAGAAACCTGATGCGATGTGCTGTAGTTTCATTAGCGGGATGCATACTGATTGTTTGTAGTAGCGCTCTGAAGGGGGAGTGACTTAGACACTAGTACTCCATTATTAGAGTCGTTTTCGTTGTGGATACAGTGTTCGTCCACACTAATCCCATCGAGCTCCAGAGACGGAACGATGTGGTGCCGCCACCTCAAAGCTGTGTGGATAGGGAAGGACTGTGAACACAGAAACAACGTGTCTGGACTCAAATTGTTTCCGATACGGTGATACAGTGATTTGTTTCAGTGTAAACATAACCTTAGTGCCCAGAGCAAAGGGAGGGGAAACTTAGGCTGTGTTCAGACTGCAGCCTGAAGTGACCCAAATCCGATTTTTTGGCTTCTATGTTCCTGTATCTGATCTTTTAATGTCAGTCTGAACGACACAGATCCGATTTTTTCAAATGTGACCCAGGACACTTGGATATTTGCTCCTGAAACCGATACATATCTGATCTTTTGACATGTGACTTCAGTGTGAACGGCCAAAGTGCATTCATCCACCTACACGTTATCAACAAGACACAAACGTCACTATTCTGCGCTGAAGTAGGTGAAAATTGTTAATAAACTCCGTGTCACTGAAGCGAAGCACATCACCACTCACCTCTTGGCTCCGTCTCCACATCCACACGTTCCTTTTAACGGACGTCGCTGCCGCTGTCCCACAAAACACCACGACCAAAAACCTCGTCCTTCTCCTTCTCAATCTCCTCCTTAAAACAAGTAAGTTGTTCATGTTCTGGCTCCGGTACGAGAGGAACTTTAAAATCTCCAGGTGCTCGATGCTGCGTCCATGTTTGGACAACTTCTGTAAACACAGAGACGCTCGCTGCGGTTGACGTCGTCGTGTCTCCAGTGCACATGCGGGACACTTTCGGGCCGTTTAATGTTCACACTGGAGTCAAATACAAGTCACATTTAACCGGAAATGTGAACGATCTCGCAAAAACATCGGATTTCACAAAAAAATCTGAATTGAACATTAAGCCCTGCAGTCTGAACGTAGCCTTAGAGCACCAAAAATCTTTATAAATAAGCAGTTAATTAAGTGAGAAGTTAATACCCCATGGAAGTATAATACCCCCTCTTTAACTAATGAGTTTCTGCAGAGTTCTCAAGCCAGAGCCGCCAAAACCAGTGTGTTATTTATTACTTTAAATTAAAATGACTTAAATAAAATAAATGTTGCTCAGGCTCAAAGGGCTGGAGTATAATAGGAAACAATGAAGTGAAATGTCGACAGAAATATTGTGAAAATGAACAATAAAATACATTTACATAAAGAACGGTTTTGTGTTTGTATTTCTCATAACGTACAGGACGTCACTGATGCTGGTTAAGAAGAAAAACACGTGTATTTTGCAGTGAAAAGAGAAGAATAATTCAAGGTTTAAGAAATCTAATAACACACAAAGCATCTATCAAAGTTATTATTATACTTCTCTTTTATCAGAAGTTGGACAAATAAAACATTAATGGAAATCTGTAACACTTTATTTTCTGTCAAATCAACCAGAATCTGGACCAGTTTGTACTCCAAGCCCAGAAATAATAAAAAAAGAAATAACCCAAGAATTTACAAAAGATTGAACAGGACTTTTTATATGAATTCCACCTGGACAATTTTTTAACCCACTGACAAGTCCCTAAATGTCGTGTTTAGTGAGATCTGCTTCAGGTTTGACGTGGGAACAGTCAAGACCCAACAGCAGCTTAATCTTCTTAGTTCTCTCAGACCATCCCCAGTCTTCAAAAAAAACAAAACAACTAAAGTCAGAGATAGTTCATTTGAGAGCGTTTGTCCACTGATCTGAAGTTGACGGTTCGAATTCTTCTCTCGATGTAAACATCATTGGTCAGATCCACCCACAGTGTGATTCCAGCTCCCACTGATGAATGCTGTTGTTTTGTCCTTGGGCAAAACACCTAACCCACCTCACCCCCAGTGTCTGTGTACGCTTCTGTGTGAATGTGTGCATGGTTCCTTGATGTAAAACGTTGAAGGTTCATTGAAAGTGGTGAAGTGTTGTATAAAAACGTGACCATGACCATGCAAGCTGTTTGTTAAAATCATTATATTTTAAGAAAATACATTGCCAGTCAAAAGTTTTAGAACACCACACTTTTTCCAGTTTTTTTACTGTTTACTGTTGACCAAAACGTATTTTAAATTTTAGGCCCTGTCCACATTAGTGTGTATTTGAGTTGTTTTCGTTGTGGGTGAAGTGTTCGTTCATACTATTCCATTGGAGAACGGCACCAGAGACGGAACGATCTGGTGCCGGCAGCTCCCACGAATTCATCTGAGAACAGATCTGATCTGACGCCTGAAAACGTTGATACACTGACGCAGGAGTTTGTGTTGCATCCTTATTGGACCACGTGACATTGGTCATGTGACGCTATTGCGGAAAACAGTTTAAATAAACCATAGACAAACTTTTTAAAATCCAATGTTACATTCAATAACAACTGAACCTCATCGTCAGTCCAAGAAAAGTCTGTTTTCACGCTTTCCATCTTCCTCGACTGCTGCAACTTCGGACATTGTGCTCCACTACCTTGTTTTTATCGGCCACGTGACATTGTGATGACGTAATGCCAGCGTGGTCATGTGACTAGCATTTCGGCAGGTTTCGTGTTACTGTGTGGATCTGGATGTCTGCACTTAAATCGTTTCCGATACAGTAAAACAATGATTCATTTCAGTGTAAACGTAACCTTAGATTCATGAAAGTGTCCGCCTTTGGCAGATAGAACAGCTGAACACACTCGTGGCTCGTTCTTTTTACAATAAAAATCAAATATTGTTCAGAAAGTTTTTCCCAAGTCTGTTGCAGAAGTTTCCATAAATGTGTGGCACTTGTCGGTCGCTTCACTCTTCTGTCCAGTTCATCCCAAACCAGCTCGACGGGGTTTAAATCTGGACACTGTGCTGTTGGACGCTCCAGGTTTTCAAGTTTACCATCTTGTTCTTTTTTTCCTGAGGTAGTTTTGGCAGAACTTGAACTTGTGTTTTGTATCTTTTATCTTTTTTTTAACCTGTCTGTTCAGTTCTTAACTTCATACCATTTCAAGCTCCTCAATGGACTTGCACGACTTGACCTGCGATAAATAACTGGAAAAATTAGGGCGTTCTAAAACTTTTGAGTGTATGTGTGTAGTGTACGTAACTACATCTACGATAATTCTTAGTAGAGACAGACAGAGCGGTTGACCAGCAGGACTTATCGACCATGGAAAAACCCATATGTGTCGATCTCTAGTTAATCCAGACTGTTTCGTTTGTGAAAATCGTGCAGAAGGCAAGAGCTTTGTGCATTTGTGAACAGGGGAAAAAGTCTGTGTTTTTCTCTCAACTGGACATAACTAAAGTTTGATTTTCCGTCCTGTTCCACTGTGACGCTTCCACCGATCAGCCAGTCAGATTAAAATATTCCTCACGATGTTTTCCGATCACTTTGGGCTACACATAAAGTATCAATTTAGCTTGATTCAGATTAACCAGCTCTTTCTATTCTTAAATTTATCCCAAAAATTCAGACAGAATGTGAAATTTAGTTAGAAATTATACAGTAGGTACATTATAAAACATCAATC